AGGGCAAGTGATGGTCACTAGTCCAGTATAGCAGTGGAGGTGGTAAGAAATATATGATGTAGATATATTTGAAAGTGATATACCAGCAAGATTTCTGTCTTTAAATAGCTTTTATCTAATTCTGTTTCAGGACCAGTAAAACACATTTTAGGGAATTGTGCATTATTTTTTAACTAGAGGCTCAGTGCACGAATTTGTGCACCAGTGGGATCCCCCGGCCTGGCCTGTGGGATCGTGCCAAAACCAGCTCTCTGACATCCCCCACGGAGTCCCAGATTGCAAGAGTACACAGGCCAAGCCAAGGGACCCCACCAGTGCACAATCAGGGCCAGGGAGGGACACAGGAGGTTGGCCAGCCAGGGAGGGACCGCGGGAGGGCTCCAGGCCATGTCCAGCCCGACTCACTCAGTCTTGATCAGCCAGACCCCAGCAGCAAGCTAACCTACTGATCGGAGCATCTGTCCCTGGTCGACGGTCAGGGCACATCATAGTGATTGGTCGACTGTCTGCCCCCTGGTGGTCAGTGCACATCATAGCAAGTGGTTGAACGGCCTTAGCATATCATTAGCATATTACACTTTGATTGGTTGAACAGACAACTGGACACTTACCATATTAGGCTTATATTATATAGGATTTCTTCTAAACTGTTTAAGACTTTACAATGTGACAGTGGTTCTCAACCGTGGCTGCACATTAGAATCACCTGGGAATCTTTTTAAAATCCTGATTTCTGGGCCTCATCCTCCAGAAATTCTGTTTCTTTGTTATGGGGTGGGGCAACAACATTAGTAACAAAGAAACAGAATTTCCGGAGGATGAAGCCCAGAAATCAGGATTTTAAAAAGATTCCCAGGTGATTCTAATGTGCAGCCAAGGTTGAGAACTACTGCAATATGAAGTAATGATACAACTGTCTCATAAAATAGCTCCTATTGTGGACAGGTTGCCTGTAGTCCTAAAAGACAGAAACAGAGCTTAGAAATATTTTTGTTGTATCCAGATTATTATATATGACTAGAGGGCCATTGCAGGAAGATTCCTGCAAGAATAGGGCTTCCTGCGGCTGGAGCGAAGCAGAGAAAGGAGCGAAACCTGCCGAGGCGGGCTTCGCTCCCACCTCCACCGCCCCGCTTGCTTCTCCGCAGCTTTGCTCCCTTCTGCAGCACTTGGCTTATTTCTACGTTGTCTTCAGTCTTCACTCCGCGCCTGCATATGCAAATTAACCACCATCTTTGTTGGGTTGATTTGCATACTCATCTGATTGGCTGGTGGGCGTAGCAGAGTGGCACCAATTTGCATGTTTCTCTTTTATTAGTGTAGATACTTATTGAGAAAGGATAAATGTGTTTAAATTGTGCCTATGTTACCAGATTGCACAGATATGTACATAATGAATACAGTTGGAGAAATTGTAGTATCATTCCTTTGATATTTGGGAAAAGGAGCACTGAGAGAAATTTTGAATGGCAATCCTATTAAATTATAGCCTAAACAGAATTTTGCTTTTATAAATTCATAAAATTTTTAAAATACAATTTTTAATAACATTTATAATCATATGGGATTAAGTATAATTAAATGTGGACCTAGGTAATATTATGTTAGTTTCTCTATGAATAACTTGATCACTGATGCACTTCCTTGAACATAGCTGTTCTTCTATGGCTGCTAACTCACTAGTTTACAGCTAAAATTTACTAGCCATAAGACCTGAGGGGGTTCAAGAGAAAAATTGGATTTTCTCATAATTGAAGCATCTTCTGCTTTAATATGAATTAATGAGATGGCAGGTTAATATATGGAATTTTCTTTACAATCATTGTTCAAGAAACAGTTTTATGTTAAGAAACAGGTAGGCTAGAAAAAGTACAGTTCTAGTTAGTTTACTGTCTAGGACAGAACTCTAGTGATGCATTTTTTTTTTTAACACAGAATTCTGTTCATTTACTTTTATTTTAACATAAGAATTTTATGACTCAACATAGAGGGTTTTTATACTTAGGAGAAACTTTCCTAATGCTCAGTAACTTAATTTCTTCCTTTTAAAATAATGTTTGCACCAAGGATATTTAGTTGCTTATAAAAGATTGACTTCCTGTTATTTATGAGGAAGATAGTCAGATGAGCCTTATGAGCACGATAATATCATATATCAGCTTTGAAATAAGTGTTTGAAATAAAGCTTAAAGTCTTTTGAATAACACAAATAAAGACTATATATGAAATTAACTATTACACATGTATAAAAAGCTATTTCAACCCTTCTTTGAAAAAATACTTTTAATATTGTATTTTACCAGTTTCATGAGGTAATAGCTCATGTAGCTATTTTTAAAAGGAAAAATCAAAGCTCTAAATTAAGTAATTAGATAAAGAATATAATTAAGTACATGGAGATAAAAATAGAAAACATATTAAGCTGGCAGTGTAGAAAAATTTGGGGGAGATTGCTCTTGCCTTTAATTACTAATAACATGTTACATTTGGTTAGCCTTAACTTGTGTAATCTTAAGAAAATTAAGATTGTGAAATAATCTCCACATAGTTCTATTCTAGCATTATTCAAACATAATGATATGCTTCAATAAGAGCACACAATAAAGTAAGTTACTATAATTTCCTATTATGAAAACTACTTTGGTACCCCTGACAAGGTTATTTGTTCCTAAAATATTTCTTTAAAATGAAAAATAGAGTAAAAAAAGATTAAAATCATTCTATAAAGCCATGCTCTACCATGTTCCCATGGTTTAGGTTTTGATTATTTTCTGTTGAGAAATTAGGAAATCACCTCTAATTTGTTTTACTCTTGTGTTTTCACTGTCAGGAATTATGACTTTACATTCTTATGATCATAACTAGAAGTCTGGTGCATGAATTCATGCACGAGTGGGGTCCCTCGGCCTGGCTGACGATTGGAGCCAATTGGGGGGACTGGCCTACCAGGGGGAGGGACCGCAGCAGGTTGGCTGGGCGGGGGGAGGGACCGTGGGAGGTTGGCCGGCTGGGGGGAGGAATCACGGGAGGTTGGCCCCAACAGCAAGCTAACCAATGGCCAATTCTGTGAGGAATTGGGCTCCCTCATCCCTCCTGTCTGGGTCCGGGGTGCGGGTGAATCAGATTCGGGGCTGTCAGGGCCCCAGCAGCAAGGTCTGGGTCAGTGCAAGTCATAGCTACTAGCCAGTCATCTGGTCGTTCTGGACATTTGGTTATAACAGTCGCTTAGGCGCGCACACACACACACACACACACACACACACACTAGAGGCCCGTTGCTAGAAATTCATGCACGGGGGGTGGGGGGGTGGGCGGGGGAGTGTCCCTCAGCCTGGCCTGCACCCTCTCCAATCTGGAACATCCCTCTCACAATCCGGGACTGCTGGCTCCTAACCGCTTGCCTGCCTGCCTGCCTGCCTGCCTGCCTGTCTGATTGCCCCTAACCGCTTCTGCCTGCCAGCCTGATCGCCCCCTAACTACTCCCCTGCTGGCCTGATTGACGCCTAACTGCTCCCCTGCTGGCCCGATCACCCCCAACTGCCCTCCCCTGCCGGTTCAGTTGCCCCCAACTGCCCTGCCCTGCAGGCCTGGTCACCCCCAACTGCCCTCTCCTGCCAACCTGGTTGCCCCCAACTGCCCTCCCCTGCCAGCCATCTTGTGGTGACCATCTTATGATGACCATCTTGTGGTGGCCATCTTGTGATGATGTGAGGGTGGCCATCTAGTGACGACATCGCACGACACCACTTAGGCTTTTATTATATACGATAGATTCCTACTGTTTACCCCCTGCCCCAGCCTCCACACACCCTCTGTCTTTATCCATAGTTTGTCTATTCCCAAGATTTTTATTTTGACATCTCTTGGTTGAGTAGACATTACCATCAAGTACTTTTTGTCTTCGTATTTTCAGTAACTCATGAATGCCATATTTCCTGGTATCTTACTTATTTGGGACTATTGCCTTTTTTAACCGAAAGGTAGATTGGCTAGTAATAAAATTCTCAATTCACACTTTTTCCTCTCAGCTTTGCAGATGTTACTACAGTGTCTTCTAGATTTGATTGAAAGTCATGGATCAAGCTCTTCTCTGCTTATCATTTTCATCCCCCTACACCACCCACCAACACCATGGTCACTTCTCTTCTGCCTGGATGCTTGTAGGAATCAGTTCTTTATTCCTGAAATTCGGTACTAACTTCATTAGGCTAAATCTAGTGATTATTTTTCCTGGAACATAATATGAAACTGCACTTTTAGTTCTGAAATTCCCGATTTTTATTTTATTTATATCTTCCATTAAATCTTTGAATAGTCCATTCCTGTATGCTTTTTTATCAGAAACTTTTTCTACATGTGTTTTTCTACTAAGTTGGATCTCTTTCATCTGTCTCTGTCAGCTTTTCTCTGATTGTAATTTTGTCTTTTCGATTTAGTTTTAGGTTATTTCCTTATACTTGTTCTTCCTTCATTCAACAAATACTTTAAGAGCATGTTCATATATTAGGCACTATTCTAGGTACTATGGGTAGAGCAGTGATAAAATAGGTGAAGTCCCAGCCTTCATGTAGTTACTAGGAATATTGGTTAA